GTTGCGGATGCCCAATGTTCTAATTGTGCTTTCTGCTTCCTGCTGCAAATTGTTACTGTCCGCGCGATGGGGAGGGCAGCGGAAAACCACCTGGTTACCACACCCGAGTCGCGTGCTCTAACTTTCTGGGGGGCCTGGGGCTACGTACAATCCGCCGACCCAGTCGGTGTGCATGAGAGGCCCTTCGACGCGAGGCCAGCCAACCCAGACTGAATGACGCCTGCCTCCTTTGAATCGTCGTCGTAAAGAAATGGAAGCAACAAGGGATATCGAACAATGTCGTAATTGCGTCGACGGGAACCACGCCCCTTCTCACCGGGGAGATGCGAGTGTCCCGAGGAGGGGGTCCCAGGGGGTGGTCCTGGAGGGGGGGGCCCAGGGGGTGGTCCTGGAGGGGGGGGGGCCCTGGGGGTTGTGACCACTCCCCCGCTGAGGGTCTTCTCCCTCGGCTTTCGCCTCCCAGACGGCCGCCCCCGAGGAGACAGACGGCTCTCCTCCTCGTCCTCCTCCTCCTCCTCCACATCTTTCGCTTCCTCCTCCTCCTCCTCCTCGTCCTCCTCCTCCTCCTCCTCCTCCTCCCTACCCCCCCTCCTCCTCCTCCTCCTCCTCCTCCTCCTCCTCCTCCTCCTCCTCCTCCTCCTCCTCCTCATGTTCCTCCTCCTCCTCCTCCTCCTCCTCCTCCTCCTCTTCCTCCCCCTCCTCCTCCTCCTCCTCCTCCTCCTCCTCCTCCCACTTCTCCTTCTCGTCGTCCCCCTCCCCCTCTTCCTCCTCTTCCACCTCCTCCTCATGCTCCTCCGCCTCCTCCTCATCCGCCTCCCCACCGCCCACCTCATGCCCCGAGCCTGTGGCAAGGTCATCAACTCGTCCTTGTCGTTGTCGTCGCGGTTATCGTCGCGGTCGTCGTCGTGGTCGTCGTTCTCGTCCTTCTTGGTCGGCGGCGCCGACCGTAAGGCCTTCATTAATACATGAGATTCGCGCCCCCGAGGGAATATTCTTCAGGCCCCCGAGGGAACATTACAATACACCAGATTCGCGCTCTCGAGGCCAGAATCCCTCGTCCCGAAGCCAGAGCACTTTGTAACTTACTGTAGACTCGTGCTCCCAAGGTCAGTATCTCTTGCTCATTACGTGTGGTTCGCGCTCCCGAGGCTAGTCCTTTGCACGTTGCACTAGATTCGCGTCTCCGAAGCCAGATGCCATTGTTACTTACGCCATACTCGCGCCCTCAAGTTTGGCGTAATCCAAAACCGCGCTCTGGCGCGAGACTTCCTCAACCTGTGCGCCAACGTTTGCAACATCCCAACTCGGGCTTTCGCACGGGGCTCCCTCACAATCCGTCCACGAATCGCGCTCTCGCGTGAGACTTGCTCGCGATACATTCTAACGCTACACTCTCGACAATGAGGAATCGCGCTCTCGCTCTGGGCTTCCTCACGACGTAGTTGGGAATCGCGCCATCGCTCGAGACTTCCTCGCAACTCATGCAGGGCTGACGCTTTAGAGCCCTGCCCGCCCGCCCGACCCGCCTGGTGGGGTCCGCCCGCCCGACACGCCCGACTGGTTCTGCCGCTTGCTTCCTGCTCCACCTTTCTCTCTCCCCCTTGTCCCTTTCCTCCTCCCTCCCTTCCCTCACTCGTTTCCTCCTCGCCCGCAGTTATGTCGTGTCTCCATTCTCTTTCCTGTATTAGGGGCTGCGTCAATTACAAGTGGCAGCTAAGGGAAGCTATTTCCCAAAGGGAGGTACGATCGAAGAAGAAGAGGGCGGGCATGAAGGATGTGGGATACACATGTTGATTGGCACGCGAACAGATAAACACGAACAACATTTTGACTAGTGCTGTTACTGCAACTGCTGTTACTGTTGTTGCTCAATTCCCGTTTCTGAAGAACGATTCTTGTTGATCCTTCTCAACCAGTGCCCACTCTTGTTTTTTCAAACGAAGTGCCCCTCCAGGGGAAGCCAACCTTCCCAATCAAACTGCGTTGGTCCCCCCCAGGCTACAAGAACAACGGCTCCCGCCTGATACTTTCCCTCGTAATTTGCTTTGAATTGCCCTCTCGCTAAAGACGTCCTCAACATGAACTCTGGCATCGCGCTCTTGCCTCGGACTTCACTGCAATCTACTGGGGCGATGCGCTCTCGACGTCCAGGAGCCGCGCTCTCGCACGAACCGTCCTCGTACTTTATTCAGGACTCGGGCTCGTGCCCGAGGCGTCCTTGCAACATGTGGAACTCGCTCCAGTGCCCTGCCCGCCGACCCGCCCGCTGGGGCCCGCCCGCCCGCCCGCCCGTGGGTCTGCCTGCCCGACCCGCCCGGGAGGGCGCGCCCGCTCGCCTGCCTGGAGGGCCCGCCCGCTCGCCTCAACGCCCGCCCGCCCGACCCGCTCGTTCGGGCCGACCCGTCCGACCCGCCCGTCAGAGTCCGCCCGCCGAACCTGCCCTGTATAGGGCTGGCCCGCCCGACCCGCCCGTCAGGGACCGCTTGCCGACACAATCGTTTCTCTGTGCTCCCCCTTCTGCCAAATCTTCGTCGCCCTCGATCGTGTTTCTTTCCCCTTGCACCCCTTCCTTATAGTTTCCTCCTCCTTTCTTGCTCTTTACCTTTTCCTCTCTTTCCTCCTTCTCCCGTGGTCAGGGCGGCACCAACTACACTTCGCAGGCAAGCATCATATATATATATATATATCTATGTATATCGATAGATGGGTGTATATCTATAAAGATATGTACCCTCAAGCAGGGTACGATCGAAGACGATGAGGACGGGTGTCGATATCGAGGACTTGGGGCATACATGATTGATTAACGGCACGCGAGTAACGAATTGCGAACAGTCTTAGCATGGCTCTTGTTTTGGTTGAAAGAACTGAAGACGCTTTCATCCCAACAGAAGCCATACATTAATAGTTGTCCAGCCTCGGGGCCGACGAACGGCTCACGAGGGGAGGCCATGGGCAATCTGAGCCATCACAGAACAGATCTGAGCCACCTCGGGGGAACATTACAATTCCCCAACCTCTCGGGCACGATGGAATGAGGACGCGCTACAGTTTCAGTGGCAGGGACAGGGCACGAGGTGGAGAATGCAGAGTGGAGGATGATGACAATAATAATAATGATGATGATGCTGATGATGCTGATGGTGGTGATGATAGTGATGGTGATGCTGCGTGATGTAAGTGGTGATGGGGATGACGATGGTGATGATGACGATGTTAATGATGATGATGATGATGATGATGATGATGATGATGATGATGGTGATGATGATGATCATGCTTATGATGACGATGATGATGCTGATGATGATGATCATGATGCTGATGCTGATGATGATGATTCAGATGATGATGATGATGATGATGATGATGATTATGATGATCATGATGATGATGATGATGATGATGATGATGATGATGATGATGATGATGATGATGATGATGATGATGATGCTGATGCTGATGCTGATGCTGATGCTGATGATGATGTGACGCACGATGCAGACAGACGCAGAGAGAGGCAAATATGGGCGCAATCACAGATCCGTTGACCCAAACAAATTGACCAAGCCACCCCGGGAGAGACACGCACAAACAGACGGCACACCGACGCAGACGAGAACACGGCCATGGACGCGGACATCAAGGCAGATAGAGATTTCTGAGATACGGGCCGCGCCAGGAGCTCCCCTGTCTCGACGGCAAATCACCAATATCAGCAAAATCTTTCGGATGTCCGAGCGGATTTCCTGGATCGACGCCAGACCTCCCCCCCCCCCTGGCGCGCGGAGCGCGCTAAGGGCGGCGCCAGAGTAGCCGCCATGGGGGCCCAGCGCTAATTTTGTCGATCCGCGAGGAACCCTTACACATTATATTTACACAGTTATACTTCCTCGACTGTCTGAGACGCTGTAGTAAGTGGCGCTTCTGCGAAAGTTTGTTTTGGTGGCAAGGCCGACGCAGCAGAGAATGCGCGCCAACACGGAGTGCTAGTCATGCACAGCTGCGAGCCAGTATCAGGAGATCTCCAGGGCGATAGATGCCTGTCCAACCTGTCTGGCAGCAGAAGATCCGGTAGGAGTTCTCATTGTGCCGGGCATGCCAGAGGGGTCCACGCAACCGTCCTCTGGCCTCACGGTGCCGTAGACAAAGTCACGGCACGATTCCTGTGGAAAGCAGAACGAGCAACGCCTGCCCACCCACCCACCCACACACCCTCCTCTCTCCACCACCAGGTCTTGACTGGCCACATACAGTGGAGGCCAGTCCACAAGAAACCTTCCACAAGCAACCAAACCCTGAGACCCCAGGACGTCCATTGATTTTTGGTGTGGGAACGTCACGCCCTCCACAACGAGACCAGCGAAACCCAAGAAACCCAGGGCACCCTGGAGGAAAGCAGGGTGTTTCTTGGCATGGGCCTCCACTGCACTCCTATCCTCATCCTTCTCATTTCCCCCGGGGGCTGGTGGGGCAGCGCCCGGTCCTCTATCTGCCTTGAGATCGGAACTCTGGGCGCCCCAGTCTTGGAATCCACGGACATCTGCCTCGTCAGGCCCCACTGCGGGGTCTCCTGGCCGGGAGAGCACGGCCCAGTTGTGCTCGGGGAGGTTGTCGGCCACTGCTCCTGTGCGTCGATCCCGCTCACAGCGTGGCCCACACTCACGGGCTTCGGCCTGGGGTCCGAGACGGCAGTCTTCGCAGTCGCCACAGTCTTTGCGGTCGCGACGGTGCTCGAGGTCTCCGTAGATGCCACAGTCTTCGACGACGACGTCGATGGGCGGTTCGGCTCCCTCCTGCCGGTCAGGTACTCGTAGGTGGTGATGTTCGGCCGCGCGCCCAGGGGAAAGGTAGAAGGGCTGGGCCTTCTCCGAAACCACGGACGGCTTCTCAGAAGGCCACGAGGTTTCTGAGAAGCCCCGCCGCCCTCTGAGAAGGCCTGCACCCTCTCAGTTAAGACGAAGCCAGGACGAGGATAACATCGGGTGAGGATAAAAAGAGAATCTCTGATACCCGGCGGCGCCGGAGGATGTCTCGCTCTGGATCGCTGAGGCCGTTCTGTAACGCTCTGGAACGGATCTATCCTCGTCCGAGCCACGTCCTATCACGTCCCCCTCGGCGCGCCGCCGAGATGTCGAGGAAGCAGAGGTAGCAGTGGAAGGCCACCAGGTGCAGGTCCAGCAGCAGCAGCGGCGCGTTGAAGGAGGCGACCACCAGCGGGACCCACACTCCGCGCAGCAGCAAGGCAAGGCAGGCGAGGAACATCGTGGTTAGCATGGCTGGGGAGCCGCGAAGATACATCTAAGGTAAGTTCGTGTCGTGACGACCCCAGTGTTGGTTCCTGACGCTTCTCGGATCGTTCAGCCTGGTCCGACTGGCGACTTCTCAATCGCCAGATCGCTCCATGTTGGCCGAGTCTGGGCCACTGGCGGCGCTCGACCTCGACCGCCCGCGGCGGGGTCGACGCCGTCGCGTCGACACGACGAGCACCTGCCGCACGGCCGGACCTGGGACAGAATAACACCCTTTCAACACATGAGATCCTCCGTCGGCCAAGCCGAAGAACCCCAGACAACATGAGACCCTCACCCAGGATGCACAAGAGCATTCAACAAGCACGAAGAACACGAGGTAAGACGAAGCCAGGACGACGACAACATCGGGTGAGGATTCATCGATCAGCTCTGAGATCCAGCGGCTCTGGATGATGTCTCGGGCGCCGCGGCCTTCTCAGAGCGTTCCGGAACGCTCTGAGGGCCTTGTGGAACGCCCTAGAGTGGATTTATCCTCGTCCTAGCCCCGTCCGGTCAGGGCGACCGCCTCGAGGCCGCTGGTCTCTCCCCAGAAACAGAAACGGAGACATAGAGAGTGTATATGTATACACATATATTTATACACACATATATATATATATATATACCGAGAGAGAGAGAGAGAGAGAGACAAAAAGAGAGAGAGAGAGAGAGAGAGAGAGAGAGGAGGGAAGAGCAGGAGGAGGAGGACGATCTTAGACCTCGGTCTGGCCGTAGCCCCCCCCACCCCTCCCCCAGGTGATGCCGAGGCGGGCCGCCGCTCGGGGGGGATGGCCACCTCCTCGAGGACAGGGCCCTCCCAGGACGCCCCGGGGGTGCCCTCCCAGGACGCCCCCGTGGGGGTCGCCCAGGGTGCCCTCCCAGGACGCCCGGGGGCGACCGAGAATGGCCCAGACCTCCTCGATCCTCCCGCCTCCCTCCTCCGAGACTTCGCTTCGATCCTCCTCCGTACTCCCCCCTCCGAGATTTCTCCTCGATCCTCCTCAGTCCTCCATCCTCCTAGATCCTCCTCGATCCTCCACGATCCCCCATCCTCCAAGATTTCTCCCTGATCCTCCTCGATCCTCCACGATCCTTTATCCTCCTCGATCCTCCTCGATCCTCCATCCTCCCGTGGGGGATGGATGATCACTACTCGATTTCCAAGAGGTGGTGGTGACTCCCGTAGTGATCCTCCGTCCTCTCTCCTCCTCCTCCTCCTCCTCCTCCTCCTCCTTCTTCTTCTTCTTCTTCTCCTCCTCCTCCTCTATATAATCGAATCTAGGACATAATAATATCTTGCAAGAACATGAAACCCTCCGCCGGCCCAAACTGAATAATATTCGAGGGTGCCCTCCTCCAGGACGCACAAGAACATCCAACACATACGAAGAACATTAGGGTCTCCTCCCCGAAACAATCTCGATCTTATACCTCGGTCCGGCTGTACTAGATTTCCAAGAGGTGTTGGTGACTCCCGCAGCGGTGGCCCCCCCTGGCGTTGCCTGATCACTCCCTCTGGCTCCCTCGCCCTGACAGTCAGAGTCGGCAGGAAGGATGCCAGGTGAGGATGCAATGCGCTTCGACGCCAACGATGTTGTTCGATCTGCGGCTAAGGACTGGCCGAGGAGGCAAGGATGTAAAGCTATGGTGGCCTATTGAGACGCTGCAACCTTACTACCGATCTTGACTGTACATGCCCCACTCCTTCCCCTTTCCCTCCACCCTGACCCTTTTTTCCTGCCAGAGTGGGGGGGGGGGACAAGAGCACACTTCGAGCTCCCCGGATGGTGGCTATCAACACGATGGTCGCGAAAAAGACTCTGTAGTTCCGCTGGCCGACGCAGTTGTTCAACCAAGGGCAGTGGTGGTCGAACCGTGGAGGAGGAGGAGGACGACGACGACACCAATAGAGGCCAATGTGCCTATGTTCTCTGCTCACAAATGCCCCCTGGACTGGCATGCCGCCGAAGATTTGTGGGCAACCCCTTCTTTTTTTGTTGTTGTTGTTGTTGTCGCTGTTGTTGTTGCTGCTGTTGTTGTTGTTGCTGCTGTTGCTGTTGCTGTTGCTGTTGCTGTTGCTGTTGTTGTTGTTGTTGTTGTTGTTGTTGTTGTTAGTGCTGTTGTTGTCACTGTTGCTGTGCTGCTGTTGTGGTTGTTGCTGCTATTGTTATTGTTATTGTTGTTGTTGTTGCTGCTGTTTTGTAAACGACCAACAAAAGGGTTTACGCTCTGGCTGAATCCCTGTCCCCTTTCGGCAGCTTGTAGCCAGTGGAGTGGGGAGAAACGATGCGAGGGCGGATGCCAGTGAGGGCGCCGCGGAGAAGGAGGAGGAGGAGGAGGAGGAGGAGGAGGAGGAGGAGGAAGAGGAAAAAGGACGGATGAAGAGAAAGGAGATTGGTTGATGGGGACGACCGTGAGACGCACTTGTTGCAGTCCCAGCAGTGCTTGCTGCTCATCTGCACCAGGCAGTTGCAGCCTCGGGTGCAGTGGGGCCTGTTCGGCTCCTTCTCGACGTCGGGGCGCAGGTGCAGGACCTTGGCGACCGCCTGCAAGACAGGGTGCGTCCGCATACTATCTGGGCCGTCCCCCAGCACCTCTCCGGGGAACCAAAACCACATGGAGACCCAACTCCCCTCGAGCCGTGAAATCACAAGTTTTTTTTTGGCTGAGCTGTGCCTTTCTGAGCAATCGTCCCACCAGCTCTCTGGGCCTAGGTGGTCGAACGAGCTCTTTCTTTCCTCTCCCATCGCCCCTCTCTTCTCTTCCTCTCCCATCGAACCACCCTGCAGTTTTTTGAGGGGGGCGCGATCGGCCAGGGCGCCCAAGATGGCTCCAAAGGGCCTCTGATGCTCCGAGGTGGCCTCCTTAGCGGCTCAAGAGAGCCGAAGATGGCTCAAGCTAGCTTCTGACATACTTCCAAGAGATCCGGCCAAGGCCACAAGACGGTTACCACTGCTCCCCGAGCCCCCCCTCAGGACTCCCCTAAGGAGCCGATGTCCTTCAGACGTTTTTGGACCATCTATTGGTTTTGCCTTCTCGCCTTTTGGCTATGCGCTGTTGAAGCCTCGAGATGGGCCCAATATGGCCGGATGGGGGCCCCACGATGGGCCCGAAACGGCTCCAAGAGCGTCCAAGATCGCGCCATGAGCGCCCCAAGATGCGATCTTGAGGGCCCCAAGGGAGGGGTGCGGGGGGAGGGGGGGACAAGTCGGGGACCCCTCCCTCCTTTGATCCAACAGGCCCCGTGAGGCCTGACAGGGCATCCAAGGAGGCCCCAAGAGGGCCGCAAGAGGGCCCCAAACCACTCTCAAAGAGCCCCAAGAGGGCCCCAAGAGGAGCCACAGAAAACCCCAAGAGGACCCCAATACTGCCCCAAGAGTACCCCAAGATGGCTCAACGAGTTCTTGTCCTCGTTGTCCTCCTCCTCCTCCTCCTCCTACTCCTCTTCGTCTTCCTCATCCTGGTCCTCGTTCTCCTCGCTATCGTCGTCGTCGTCGTCGTCGTCGTCGTCGTCGTCGTCGTTGTCTTCGACGTCGTCGTCGTCGCCGTCGTCGTCGTTGTCGTCGTTGCCGTCGTCGTTGTCGTCGTCGTCGTCGTCGTCTTCCTTCTCCTCCTCTTCCTCCTCCTCGTCCCCGTCCCCGTCCTCGTTCTTGCCCTCCTCGTCTTCCTCGTCCTTGTCCTCCTCTTCTCTTCCTTCTTCCTTCTTCTTCTTCTTCTCCTCCTCCTCCTCCTCGTCTCGTCGTTTGCCACTGGGACCTCTTCCCAGAAAAACAAGCGGGTAGCAGCCCGATCGTCACCCTTGTTTGCCCGTAGGGGGCCAAGGGGAGAGAAATTTGCTCCTCGTCGCCTGCGGCCACCCACGGAGTGGGTGGTGGGTAGGCTGGGCGCCGGAGCACGGCCTCCGGCGCCCCCTACCCCGAGCAGGGCGCGCGGAGTACGGCCTCCTTGCGTGCCCTGTCTCGCGCGCCGTTCGCGGAGCACGTGCTCCTCCTGGTCCTGGCCACGGGGGCACGTGCCCCGTCGGGTGGCCCGCAGGACCTGCGCCTGTGGGCTATGCGTTGGCATGTCTGTCTGTGCCAGCGCTTCTGAAGGTCCTCTTGCTGAGGGTCTGCAGAGGTTGATGTCAAAACAAATCCTCGTCTCGTCGTTCTCCATATCCTCCTCCTCCTCCCCCTCCTCCTCCGCATCCTCAATTCGCCATGGGTACCTGCTGTCATTCACTATATGTGTCCCTTCATCCTGTTTTACGCCAGTTCTCATGTGCAGCGTTTCTGCATGGACTGGTGGGGATATTCGAAGCGTGAAAAAGTATTGCTGATCCCCCCGTCCTGTGCACCTTGTGACTTTCAACTGGGGAGCCTCCCGCCTGGGGCTCGCACACGGTGAACATCAGGGAACGTAATGGGGCTCAAACTGTGTTGTAGGTAGGTCTTGGCTTAGAAGCAACAACAATCATGTTAAGTCTGTTCGCTACTGTCTGCTCGCGTGCCACTCAATACGTATACCCCACACCCTCGATACTCGCCTCTTCGTCTTCGATCCTATCCCCTTTGGGGGTATATCTTCCCTACCTGCCGCGTATAGTTGTCGCAGCCCCCCAAAACAGGGGGAGGAACAGAGGAGGGAAGAGGCCTGGGGTAGGGAGACAGATGAATTACGAGAGCGATTTGCAAGAGGAGTGTTAGGACTAGGAGTACAAGCGGCATAACCAGACGGACAGGTCGGGCGGGCGGGCCCTAACGGGCAGGTCGGGCGGGCGGGCCCAGACGGCCAGGTCGAGCGGGCGGGTCGCTGAAGCGACAATCCAACATGAATCGAAAGGCAGTTTCGAGCGATAGCGCCATTCCCTGGTAGATCGTGAGGAAATCCAGAGCGAGAGCGCGATTCCTGAGTCTTGTGGCAAACGGAGCCGCAATGCATTGTGAGGAAGTACCAAGCGAGAGCGCGACTCCTGCTTACATGATGATGAAGTCCCGCGCGAGAGCGCGATCTTCATCAAGTACCCTGTGAGGAAATATCCAGCGGGAGCCACTGTTGTGGCAACCCAGGGGGGCAGGGGCCCAAGTTGAGCACAAAGACTTTCCCAGATGGACAAAACAGTGCGAGCCCCAGGAGTAGCATTCTCAGGGAAAAGCGCAATGTGCACCAGGCCAGAGGGGACCAACACGAAGTATTCTTTGAACATGAGAACTCCACTGCTTCCGCCCGTAATTCCTGGCAACTGATTTGAAATCGCGCGATCGCTCGAAACATCCTTACAATGTGCGCAGGATGTTGCCCTCGCCTGGGAGTTCCGTGCAATTTGCTACGGCGCTGCGCTCTCGACGCCCAGTGCTCGCGCTCTCGCACGAGACCTCGCAATTTACTCATGGCCCGTGCTCTCGCCTGAGACTTCCGCCCGACCCGCCCGTCAAGGTCCGCCCGTGCGCCTGCTTGAAGCCCGCCCGCCCACTCCAATGTCTCGCCCGGCCCGCCCATTGGGGTCCGCCCGCCCCGACGCGCACGCTAGAATCCGCCCGCTCGACCCGCCCGTCAGGGTCGGGCCTCTCGCGCGCTTGAACTCCGCCCGCACGCTTTGATGCCCCGCTTGCCCGAAACGCCCGTTCGGGTCCGCCCGACCGGCCCGCCCGTTTGGGCTGGCCCGCCCGTCGGGGCCCAATGGCCAAGTTTATTGCTCCTCTTTCTTCCCTCGGGGGCGTGCAAATGTGGATTGGCGATCCGTGGATTTGGCGCGCGGTCGCCAAATCCATGGACTGGGGGAGGTGCCCTCCCCAAAATGCGGCCGGTGCCACGTCGTTCGGCGGCGGAAATCCGCGATTTCCTACAGAAACGGGACCCGTCGCTAATCCATACCCCCTTTATCCATGTTTGCGAACGCCTGATTCCCCCTCATGCTCAATCTGCTTCGCCCTCAATCCTCCTCCTTGCCTCTTGTCCCCCTCCATTTTATGGTCCTCCTCCTTTCCTCGCCCGTCTTCTCCTCTGTCCCTTCCCTCCTCCTCCTCCTCCTCCTCCTCCTCCTCCTCCTCCTACCGTGCGGGCCGCACCAACTAGTTGCACGTAGCAGGCAAGGAAGAGATATCCCCGAGGGGGTACGATAAGAGACGAATCGGGTGGGTATTGAGGGTTTGGTGGTGTACATGTTGTGTTGCACTTAGGTCGGGCGTGCTCCCCTACAGGCGGATTTTGGATGAAAAATTAAGATGCCCCCCAAATACTCAAATGATCGAAAAATGCCAACAAACATCGCCTCCAGACTATTTTGTGGACTATTCTCGAATGTTCCTCCTGCAGGGGGACACGCCCGACTTAATGTTACACGAACAACGAGTAACGAGCAATACATAATTCGGGAGCGGCCAAGAGGGGGGTGTCCAAGAGGGGGGGGTGCAAATCATGACCGGCGGCATGTGCGCGGCCCAGCGGGAAGGCCTGGGACGTAATGAAATAAGAAGAGGCACCATGAAATCTGAGGAAACATCATGGCCCGCGCCATGAAATCCCCCCCCCCCCCCTAGTCGTCACCCCCCTCTTTTCCGCTCCCGAATAATCTGGTGCTTGCTGCTGCTGTTCTCTGCCGGCCTCCGGAGGCGCCCGCCGTGCCCCGGGGCTGTCTCAACAGGCGATGCGGGATGACGACAACGCCAGTCTCGGAGCATCGGCCAGGCCCTCTGGTGCCCACTCTGCACCTCCCCCTCCCACAGTTGCTGCCCCTGATCTGATCCTCCCTCTCCTGCTCCTCCTCCTCCTCCTCCTCCTCCTCCTCCTCCTCCTCCTCCTCCTCCTCTGTCTATCATAGCACGGTCTGAATATCACTCTCCCTCTCTCCCCTGAGGACGCCTGGAAGGTGTTCGGCCCCGAGGGGTGGATGGGGCTGCGAAGCTCCCCTCTCCTGCGACGCCGCATCCTTTCGCGTGCCGCGGGCCGCCGGGGACCAGCTCTGCATCCCGAGCCGTCTGGGAAGGGGGGCCCGGGGCCGGGAAACTGCACCCAGAGGTTGTGTTGCTCCCACCGCACTTGAGGACCACGTCCCAGAAAATAGCTTCGAGCACCCGGAGAAGTGTCGAAACAGCGTCGAACGAGTTCCCTCGTTCTTGAGCACCCTCGAGTTTTGGTACTTGCTTGGTGCTCGAAGTTCGTTCTGGCGATCGAAGCTAAAGTAGGTTGGAGCATCATCCCCAAAAGGCCGAACGCCAAGAAAAGTGGGCCGCCGCACGATCTTTGGTTTTTTTTGACGTCTGGCTGCCCCGAGGGCCGCTGGCCGCACGGTCTTGGCCGCCCTGGACCTCGGGGTCTGCGGGGTCGATCGCCATCGCAGACAGGCCGAAGACGGCGAGGCACATCCACTGCAGGTAGAACAGGCCCGTGAGCAGGTGCTCGGGCCCTTCGGGCTCCAAATACGGCGCGATCGCCACACCGTACAAACCCGCGTCCGCCAACACGATCCCGATCGCCGTTAGCTGCCGCACCTCTCTGGTCGGGCGAGATGAGGGAAGCGGAAATCCGACAGTTTTCTGCGGCGAGTTCGGAGGGGGAATTGAGAAGGGGCGGGCCTTCTCAGAGGGCTCGGAAGTCCCCCGGCCTTCGGACCAATTTTCTAAGCCTTCCCCGAAGACACAGAAGACTTCTCGGAAGGCAGGAGGGCTTCTGAGAAGTCCCGCCGCCTTTTGAGAAGGCATTCCCCTTCTCATTTCTCCCATCGCTCGTCGCCGAGGTTTGAAACACGGATACGGTTTTTTGTTGACATGAGGGCAAGAGTGGTATGGGTTATTGTTATAACATCAGGATTCGACATGTAGGACCATCATAACGTAAGTACGACAAACACCACAACCTCAACCGCGGTTGAGGTTATCATTATTGTTGCATGTGCTACTAGCAAACGAAAGATATAAGCCAGCGTGGACCCCAACAAGTGCGTTTCTAGAAGTATATGTAATGCAATCTATGTGGTGCGATCTGACGTGCGGCGACGAGGCGGCGACGGCGGCAACATAGCCGCCAGACCGACGGTCAGGCCCAGACGACGGGAGGCGACGAGGTTGCGACGGGGTGGCGACGGCGGCAACACAGCCGGCAGATCGACGGTCAGGTCCAGACGACGGGCGGCGACGAGGCGGCGACGACGGCGACAACATAGCCGCCAGACCGATGAGCAAGCCCATACGACAGGCGGCGACGAGGCCGTGACAAGGCGGCGGCGGCGACAACATAGCCGGCAGACCGACGCGCAGGCTCAACGACGGGCGGCGACGAAGCGGCGACGGGGCGGCGACGGCGACTACATAGCCGCTAGACCGGCAGACCGGCCCAGGTGACGGTCGGCGACGTGGCGGCGACGGCGACAACATAGCCGCCACACCGACGGTCAGGCCCACTGCCTTAGACCATCGATAAAAACCACTAAGTGCAAGCACTGTGTGGGGCATCTGTCAGACAACAACATCCATGACTGTACCAAAGTTAGCCAGCGTGGACCTCAAGCAACGTGTTTCTAGCAATGTATGTTGTGCAATACATGTTGTACAATATTGTGCCGCAACCTACGTGGCACAATCGATATTGTGCGAAAGCTATGATGTGTAAAATATATCGCTCGTGCTTCCGCGCCGCACAGTGTCCAGATTATCACTGTACAGCCATGTGAGTTGAAAGGAGAAGCGCCCATGCGGCTCGGGCACTGTCCTCAGACGCAATAGGAAGCAACCACCCTGTAATGGGGAGCTTCATCAGTATGTGGTAGGTGTGAAAGGCGACGACCGTGCGCTCCAGCAGCACGCTCTGTGGGAATTCGTCAACTCCCCGCTGCAGACGCCCAGACTATTCAGGGTCAGTTGCGGGATGCCAAGCTGCGCATGCCACCCAGCGCGCACTGCCTGCCAAAGAGGTGGCAGCGTGTGAAGTGCGCTATAGCGTCAGAGGCGCGCTCGCCCTCGGACTGGCAGCAGCCGAAAAAGCAGGGGCTCCTGACGTCATACAAGTGAAGGGGACGTGATCCGTCCTCCAGCCCGCGTCTTGATAAGTGCCGATAAAGTAGCCGGCGTGAGGCTCTTGCTCAGGAGCTCTTTGAATGTCTCCCATTCGATCTGAAAAAAAGAATTATCCTGGCGAAGGGCCCAACCACATGCAATTGTGAGTACCGCAATTGTGAATATCTTCTTCGGTGGAGCCCCCTACGGGGCCACGAAACGTACGAGGGGTGTGCCGAAATGGGTGTGCGGGACGCATGCGGGCACACCCACTGGGGCCTTCGGTGGAGCTCCCTATGGGACCACAAAACGTGCGAGGGGTCACGAAACGCGTGAGGGGTGTGCCGAAATGAGTGTGCGGGACGCATGCGGGCACACCCACTGGGGCCTTCGGCGGAGCTCCCTTTGGGGCCACGAAACGTGTGAAGAGCATGCCGAAATGGGTGTGCGGGACGCATGCGGGCGGCAGCACTGGGACCTTCGGTGGAGCCCCTCTACGGGGCCACGAAACGTGCGAGGGGTGTGCCGAAATGGGTGTGCGGGACGCATGTGGGCACACCCATTGGGGCCTTCGGTGGAGCTCCCTATGGGACCACGGAACGTGTGAGGGGTCACGAAACGCGTGAGGGGTGTGCCGAAATGGATGTGCGGGACGCATGCGGGCACACCCACTGGGGCCTTCGGTGGAGCTCCCTATGGGGTCACGAAACGTGTGAAGGGTATGCCAAAATGAGTGTGCGGGACGCATTCCCTATGGGGCCACGAAGCGCGTGAGGGGTGTGCCGAAATGTGTGTGCGGGACGCATGCGGGCGGCAGCACCCTGGGGCCTTCGGTGGAGCTCCCCATGGGGCCACGAAACGTGTGAGGGGTGTGCCGAAATGAATGTGCGGGACGCATGCGGGCGGCAGCACTGGGGCCTTCGGCGGAGCTCCCTTTGGGGCAACGAAACGTGTGATGGTGTGCCGAATTGGGAGTGCGTGACGCATGCGGGCGGCAACACTGGGGCTTTCGGCGGAGCTCCCTATGGGGCCACGAAACGTGTGAGGGGTGTGCCCAACTGGGTGTGCGTGACGCATGCGGGCGGCAGCACTGGGGCCTTCGGTCGAGTTTCCTATGGGGCAACGAAACGTGTAAGGGGTGTGCCGAATTGGTGTGGGTGACGAATGCGGGCGGCAGCGTTGGGGCCTTCGGCGGAGCTCCCTATGGGGCCACGAAACGTGTGAGGGGTGTGCCGAATTGGGTGTGCGTGACGCATGCGGGCGGCAGCGCTGGGGCCTTCGGCGGAGCTCCCTATGTGGCCACGAAACGTGTGAGAGGTGTGCCGAATTGGGTGGGGATGACGCATGCGGGCGGCAGCACTGGGGCCTTCGGCGGAGCTCCCTATGGGGCCACGAAACATGTGAGGGGCGGCAGCACTGGGGCCTTCGGCGGAGCTCCCTGTGGGGCCACGAGACGTGTGAGGGGTGTGCCGAATTGGGTGTGCGGGACGCATGCGGGCGGCAACACTGGGGCCTTCGGCGGGGCTCTTATGGGGCCACGAAGCGTGTGAGGGGTGTGCCGGAATGAATGTGCGGGACGCATGCGGGCGGCAGCACTGGGGCCTTCGGCGGGGCTCCTATGGGGCCGCGAAGCGTGTGAGGGGTGTGCCGAATTGGGTGTGGGTGACGCATGCGGGCGGCAGCACTGGGGCCTTCGGCGGAGCTCCTATGGGGCCACGAAGCGTGTGAGGGGTGTGCCGAATTGGGTGTGGGTGACGCATGCGGGCGGCAGCACTGGGGCCTTCGGCGGAGCTCCTATGGGGCCACGAAACGTGTGAGGGGTGTGCCGAATTGGGTGGGGATGACGCGTGCGGCGGCAGCGCTGGGGCCTTCGGCGGGGCTCCTAAGGGGGCCACGAAACGCGTGAGGGGTGGGGTGCGGGTGACGCATGCGGGCGCATGCGGGCGGCAGCACTGGGGCCTTCGGCGGGGCTCCTATGGGGCCACGAAGCGTGTGAGGGGTGTGCCGAATTGGGTGTGGGTGACGCATGCGGGCGGCAGCGCTGGGGCCTTCGGCGGAGCTCCAATGTGGCCACGAAGCGTGTGAGAGGTGTGCCGAATTGGGTGTGGGTGGCGCATGCGGGCGGCAGCGCTGGGGCCTTCGGCGGAGCTCCTATGGGGCCACGAAACGTGTGAGGGGTGTGCCGAATTGGGTGGGGGTGGCGCATGCGGGCGGCAGCAGTGGGGCCTTCGGCGGAGCTCCTATGGGGCCACGAAGCGTGTGAGGGGTGTGCCGAATTGGGTGTGGGTGACGCATGCGGGCGGCAGCGCTGGGGCCTTCGGCGGAGCTCCTATGGGGCCACGAAACGTGTGAGGGGTGTGCCGAATTGGGTGTGGGTGACGCATGCGGGCGGCAGCGCTGGGGCCTTCGGCGGAGCTCCTATGGGGCCACGAAACGTGTGAGGGGTGTGCCGAATTGGGTGTGGGTGACGCATGCGGGCGGCAGCACTGGGGCCTTCGGCGGAGCTCCTATGGGGCCACGAAACGTGTGAGGGGTGTGCCGAATTGGGTGTGGGTGACGCATGCGGGCGGCAGCACTGGGGCCTTCGGCGGAGCTCCTATGGGGCTGCGGAACGTTGTACTGGGTGGGTGAAGCGCAGGGAAGAGGGGGAGGAGGGAGGAGGAGGGGGGAGGAGGAGGAGGAGGAGGAGGAGGAGGAGGAGGAGGAGGAGAGGAGGAGGAGGAGAGGAGACGCGGACCACCGTCTCTTCAAAACGAGGACCCAACACCACAAGATGGCTGGGAAAAAAGACTCGGTAGGTTTCGCCCAGGAGCTGAGGCAAGAGTGAACAGTGACAGGCGGGCGGTCAGGGGTGGGAGAGGAGACGTAGAGGGAGTGGGTAAACTTCTGCATGCGCAAGCGAGCCGTAAAATATTCGGCCAAAAGACGGGCCTCCTCCACCTTCCCCTCACTCAGCACAGCGGCGCAGGCCACTGCCAGCGGGCGGTTCATGTCGTTGGGGAATCCCTGCGACGCTTCCTGGAGGGTGTACGTGATCGGATTCGACTTCCAGTAGAGGGGGGCAACCAGGCCATGCGAGCGGGCGTGGAACGAGAGGCTGAACTCCACTGCGTCGCGCAGACGTCGAGCCCAGAACTGCCAGTTCAGGTCAGAAACAGTGGCGCTGCGCATCAGTGCCGATCGGTTGCTGTGCTCGTGGGGGACCGCCTTCAGCGGAGTCCAGCGCCCCCAAGCCAGTAGGGCATCACGAGGGATAGCTTGTGGAGGTAGGTGCCAGACGCGCAGTAGTGCCCAGCTCCCTTTCTTCGTCACTTTCGGCGGCCACGCAAAGAGCTGGCTGATGTAAGAGATCTTGCTCACCGCTCGCTGGTTGTGTAGCATCAGTGAAGTGTTGGTCGGGGCCCCGATGTGGGCGAACTTGACAGTCTAGCGCTGCCAGCCGAGAATGACCTTCCCCCAGCTGTGTCCATCATCAGCACTGGGCCCCTTTAGCTCTCCCA